CCTTTATTCATGGACATTCAGGTTGTTTCCAATGTTTTGCCACCATGAACAATGCTCTGACGATAACAGCCAGCATTTCCTGTGCCAGGCCCTTGTTTACCATGTGCCAATGCTTACCATGTGCCAGGCCCTTGTTAAAATCCTTCCCATGTATCATATTTAATTCTCACTATAACTGTGACATAAGCACAGGGAGGTGAGTAACTGTCCCAAACCACATCTCTGTTTTTGTCCACAGGTGGGAGTGTAAGATAACTTTCCAGATAAAGAGTTGCTGTTACCAAAAGATATGTCCATTTTATTTATTTATTTATTTTTATTTATTTACTTTTGAGATAGAGTCTTGCTCTGTCACCCAGGCTGGAGTATAGTGGTGCAATCTGGGCTTACCACAACATCTGCCTAATGGGTTCAAGCAGTTCTTATGACTCAGCTTCCCAAGTAGCTGGGACTATAGCCACCACGCCTGGCTAACTTTTGTATTTTTTTAGTAGAGATGGGGTTTCACCATGTTGGCCAGGCTGGTCTTGAACTCCTGGCCTCAAGTGATCCACCTGCCTCAGCCTCCCAGAGTTCTGGGATTACAGGCGTGAGCCACTGCACCTGGCCAGGTATGTCCATTTTAAAGTTATATAAATACAGCCAAACCGGCCCCATCAAGGCTGTGCTTATCTGCATCTCACTTGCAAGTAGATGTATGAGGGCCCGTTGCCCTCCTCTCTCACTGTTGAAAAATTTCTTGATATCTGCCAATCTGAAAGGTGAAAAATGGTATTTCATTGTGGCTCAGATTTGCATTCTTTTTCTTTAAATAAATGAAGTTGAGCATGTTTTCAAATGTTTAAAGGCCATTTGTTTTATAATGGGGTTTTAAAAACTTAATAAAATGCTTCCACTGTTGACCTAGAATAATCAATGGACAAGGTAGCCTGGAATCCTTTACATTTTAATTTTACTTATAGATTTTTAAAATAGTTAATACAGTTACAAGATTCAACATTTGAAAAGAATACAAGAGTAGAGACAAACCCCATCCATGTGTCTCCCCAGTGCCCAATTCCTGTCCCCAAACACAATCAGGCCTCCATTTGCCTCCATTTCTCCCTCCTGTGCCTATGGTCAAAACCTGGGCCGCACCATTATCCTTAGCTGCTCCATCTCTGAAATATTAAATTCAAACATTCCACTCTGATCTCGCCACTGTCCTCTTAACTACCCAGCACCTGACCCTCTCTTGACACCCCACCTGCCCTTTACCTTACCTTCCTTTCCCATCCACCTGAGGTTCTCTGCCCTCCAGAGGCTCCACGTCAGGTCCCACTGGCCTCCAGCCACACCTGCCTGGAAAGTCTTACTTTCTGTTTCACAATACCTAGTTCAGAGTCAGCCCACCCATGGGATCACTCTCATTTAAAGATCTTAAGCAGAGTAACCACTTAATTTACTGCTCAAACTGGGACCCTTTTGAGAATGAAAGGAGCACGACTAATTATGAAGCCAAGACAATAGGGGCAGATGATTACTGTCCAAGGCAGATCGGGTGCAAATTCAGCTCAATCTTAAGGAACAATTACCTTTAATTTCAGAGCAGAGATCAATAATATGTGCTGAGCCCCACAAATGATTTAAAGTTGCTGCCTTTGTTCACTGCCCAATCTTCTCTTCTAAATGGATTTTTTAAACAGTGCATTTCCCCAACACTATTTTCTTAAAAATCTATCCTTTAGAATACCAGTTTCAGCCCCTAAACTCAAGTGTGTAACAAAAATTAGTTTGTTTATAAAATTCTCCTTCATCTATACTTGAGCCCCACTCTTTAAAAAGGTGCTGACCCTTAATCTCAGTCAGTTCTGAGTTTCCTTTGCAGTTTCCATTTTGGATTTGGGGTGGGGTGGAGTGCAGGGTTCTAGACCCTCAGTGACCTACAAAGGGTCCTGCCCTTGATGTCATCTATCCTTGTCCCATCTGGTCCTGGTGCCTGCAGGTTATTGTGGAGGTCTAAGTCTCTCTCCACCTCTTCAAGCAGCCTCAGGGAGCTTGCCTAGGGTCCTCTTGGCCTAGATACACCCAGTAGCCATTCTATTCTCTGCTCTCAGATCCACAGATTGTGAAGGATGCTGATTTCTCTGTGGGGCTCAGCCCAGGGAGCAGGGATTGGGACCTCAACCTCCAGGACCTAGCAAAGTCAGTGTTTCTCAACTTCCCTCCGGTCCTTGTCCTTGCTCTGGGGAATTCTTCTTGGATATGAGGGGCAGGAAACGCCTTGATCTTTCTCATGACCATTTTCTCCCACCCTTTGGTCTAGGTCTAGGCCAGAAGTCTTTTCTATTCCCCTAAGGAAAGAGGCTCCTTACCTCTTCCTTCTGTTTTCACACACGTTCCCTGCAGCACTGAGCATAGAATGGCCTGGTTATTTGAGGCAGGGAAGGGAGAGAGGTAAAGGGAATATCAGGCTGGAGAAGGCATTGACTAATATTTCAGAACATGATCTTGCAAGGCATGTAAAAATATCTTATACAAGATGTGCTTCCTGTTTTAACTATTATGATTTTATAATTTTTCAGATCTTGTAGGCAAGACTCCCTACTCCCATCCCCCAGGCCAGGGCAGCCAGTTATCAGCTGTGTGAACTTGGACAAATTATGTTATCCTCTCTAAGCTTTAGTTTCTTCGTCTGTAAATGAAGATAATAGTAGTTCACGTCAGTGCTTCTACTTGCCAAGCACTGTTCTCAATGTTTCATGTATGTTACCTCATTTAATACTGACCATAAACCTATGGGATAGCTGCTATCATTCCAGATGAGGAAGCCACTTCCCACAGTCATAAGTAACTTGTCCAAAGTCATGTGATCTCCTGCTCTTAATCACTTTCCCAACCTGTCTTTCATAAATATTAATAATGACCTCAGTCAGGCGTGGTGACTTACGCCTGTAATCCCAGCACTTTGGGAGGCTGAGGTGGGAGGATTGCTTGAGCCCAGGAGTTCGAGACCAGCCTGGGCAACATATTGAGACCTCATCTCTACAAAAAAATTAAAAAGTAGCCTGATGTGGTGTGGCATCTGCCTATAGTCCCAGATATTTGGGAGGCTGAGGCGGGAGAATTGCTTAAGCCTGAAAGGTCAAAGCTGTAGGGAGCTGTGAGAGTGCCACTGCACTCTAGCCTGGGTGACAGAGTGAGATCCTATCTCAGAAAGAAACAGAGAGAGAGAGAGAGAGAGAGAAAAGAAACCTCTTGAGGTTGCTGTGAGGATTAATTGAGGTCAAGTATGTAAAGCTCTCAGCCCTGAGCCTAGCACATAGTAAAAACTCAATAAATTCTAAGCTCATACTTTAGCCATGATTTTTTGGGTCATTTTCCTTCAAAATGCCCTTGGAATTGTATTTAAAATATATATAAATGTCTGAACTTAAGCATATTTGCCCTATTCAGTTTTCCCATCCAGAAATATGATGTCTTATTATATGTTTCTTAGCAAAGTTTTGCCATGTGTCCTCATATAAAACATGCATGTCTAGGTGAGTTTATTTCTAGATGTTTTAGGGTTTTTGTTTTTATTGAAAATGAAATCTTTCCCTCCATTATATCTTTTGATCACACAGTGCTGGTGTCTCCATGTTCTTGTTAGTTAATCAGCTCCCAGATGTCTCTAGAGGGATGTCTTTCCATAGCCCTCTCATTTAGGTTGACATGAAGATCACTTGGCCCAGCCAGTGACATACGCTCTGACCAAGAGGCACAGGGGCACAGGGTGAGAAGTATTTTTCCAGGGTAGCTTAGGTTGGCTGAGGTGATCAGAGAACTGTCCCTTGGCTAAGGAAGTACAGCCTGGGGAGAGGGGAAGGAAGGGGCAGCCCTTGCTTGGCTGCATGCTGGTTCTGATTCCCTTTGGGGATCTGTCTGAAGAATGAGTTCCTAGGTACCCACATTTCCTCTGTGGCCTCAATGATTCCCAATTGTGTTTGTCAAATGATGGCTCCAGTGGCAGCTCTGCCAAGGCCCAAGATGCTTCCCTGGGCTCTGGGTCGCTTAAGTAGAGGGACTGTCATCCAGCAGTGCCTCATTCTTCTCCGTGGGAGATACATAATCTGTGGCGTCCCTGAATCACTCCCTGCCTGACTCCACTGCAGGCCTCCAGAGGGCAGCAGAGAGCAGGCGAGAGGGGAGAACAGGACTTGGTTCCTGGAGAAGCAACAAAGACGGTTCCGCCCCTGCAAGCGGCTAGGAATACTGCTCATCCCCCTCCCCTCCTCCTCAGGATAGACATGTGAGCTTCTCCCTGAGGGTGTAATAATTATAATAATATTATTAGTTAATACTAACTGTTCCCTGTGGGCCAGACATTGACCTAAGGTTTCACATTGATTCAGATAACCATTGAGGTAGATATAATTATTATTTGATTTTTTTTCAGTTGAGGAAATTGCAGTGGAAAAAAAAGGAGAAACTGCCCAAGATCCCACAGTTAGTTGAGTCAGGATTTAGACCCAATTATTTATGAGCCAGGCTCTATTCTAGGTATCAGAGATGCATCAGTGAATCAGATAAACTTTGTGCCATATTAGGAGGACAGAAAAAGTGAAAAAATGAATAAACACATAATGTGGTTTTGAATTGAAATGCCACTTAGACAAATAAAGCAGAGTTAAGGACCAGAGAGGGGCATTTTAGATGGGCTAGTCAGGGAAGGTGTTCTTGGGTAGATAGCATTTGACCAAAGAGTTGAATACATGAGGGAACAAGTCAGGCTGAAGATTGGGGAAACAGTAAGTGCAAAGGTCCTGAGGTGGAAATGAGCCTGGAGTGTTAGAAGAACAGCAAGACTTGCATCGTGGCTGCTGTAGAGTGAGCTGAGTCCATAGGCCACAGCAGCATTTGGGAAGTAGATAGGGATGGTGAAGAAAGAGAACTCCTCCACAGCATCACCTGGGTTTGGCCTCTTACAGTGTCTCAGCTTCTCTTTAACATATCCCTCACCTTTTTTCACCTTCCTGCAGAGTGCTGACACCATCACAGTATGTTCCATTTTCAACCCTGGACACGGTTCAAAAGCAGCTAAAGCAGACAAGAATCTGGGGCAGCCAATATTGTACCACCTGCCAAAACTTGGCACAAACAATCTGGAAGCCAAAAATTGCACATACTGTGGTGAGTCTTGCCCAGCCTGTGGGGAACTTCTTGTGGGTAAAGGTTCTAGATGAGCCTGCCAGGGCTCCCAAATTAATCCTCAGTCCCACTAACAAGGGCCTAAGCCGCGCAGGTCTCTCCAGGGTAGGAAGCTGCTATTTTCTTCACAGAATTTTGCCCCCATGCATGGTCCTAGGTCAGACCTACCTAAATACTTCCAGATGTCAAACCCAGGTGGGGTTCAGATGGCATTTAGCCAGGAGATGGAAGGGAATCCATCCCAGTGAGCAGTCATCACCTTCCACCAGGTATCTGAAGAAAATGGAGGCACAGAGGTCAAACAGTCATCCCTCAGCATCTACAAGGGATTGGTGCCAGGACCACCCACAGATACCATAATCTGAGGATGCTCAAGTCCTTCACATAAAATGTGACCTACACAATCCTCTGTTTATCTTTTTTTTTTTTTTTAAGACGGAGTCTTATTCTGTCGCCCAGACTGGAGTGCAGTGGCACGATCTCGGCTCACTGCAAGCTCCGCCTCCTGGGTTCACACCATTCTCCTGCCTCAGCCTTCCGAGTAGCTGGGTCTACAGGCATGTGCCACCATGCCCGGCTAATTTTTTTTTGTATTTTTAGTAGAGACGGGGTTTCACCATGTTAGCTAGGATAGTCTCAATCTCCTGACCTTGTGATCCGCCCACCTCGGCCTCCCAAAGTGCTGAGATTACAGGCGTGAGCCACCACGCCCGGCCTCCTCTGTTTATCTTGAATCATCTCTAGATTACTTCTAATACCGAATACAATGTAAATGCTATGTAAATAGTTTTTTATACTGTATTTTGGGAGTATTTGTATTATTTTTATTGTTGTATTGTTATTTATTTTTAGTTTTTCAAATATTTTTGATCTGCTGTTGGTTGACTCCTTGGATTAGGAATCTATGGATATAGAGGGCCAACTGTACTAAGAATCTTTAGCTCCCTCTCCTGGCAGATCCCTAGCGAGTGAGGTGGGCCTGTGTTGAGTGCTCCTTTTGCCTGAGTGAGAGCCTAGAACCAGAGACTGCATGCCCTAATCCAGGATTTCTTGACCATGGCACCATTGATAGTTGGGGTCAGATAATGTTTTTGTTGTGGGGGCCATCCTTGTAGGATAGTAGCAGCATTTCTGGCCACTACCCACTAGAGGCCAGAAGTACCCTCCCTCCAGTAGTGACCTTCCCTCCAGTGTAACCAAAATAGATCCAGACATTGCCAGATGTTCCCAGAGGAAGACACACATGACTGAGGACCACTGGGGCCAGTTCTTTCCCTTTCCGCAAGACCAGTGCATGAGCCTCAGCTGTTACCACTCTGGTGGTGAGGAAGAATTGACAGTATCCCCCAAGCATTTACTCCAGTGCCACAGCTGAGTGGGTGGCTTGGCATGTCCTTGGCTGTAACATGGAAGGAGGCCAGAGGACAGGGAGCAGAGAGAAAAGGGGTAGCCATATCTTCTCTCAACATTTTTTGGCTCACAAAACTAAACCACAGGGAAGGGCAGGGATGAAGTTGGCCATACACATCACAGGACTAGGTCTTTCTCTCCCTCCTCATCTCTCTCTCTCTTTCATGCACATACATGCACACACACACAAATGGACACCCCTCTGCCATTCTGTGTATTGGCTTTGTTCTCTCCCACTGAAGACAGGCTTTCTCCAGAGACAAAAGAGAACTTAGTGCAGGAGGAAGAAGTTAATGAATGGTCTGATTTTGCCCAAGAGATTGGCAGGGCAGGAATAAGAGGTTATGGGTATCAATGAGAGAAGAGAGGAAAGGATTCATTATGATGTCCAGACCGGAAGGGAAAGTAAATGAAGCCATGAGGAGCTGGTATATGGGGAGAAGAGGAAGATGCTTGAAGATCAGAGGTCTTCATCCAGTTGAAAAGCAGGAAAGAAGGGAGTCAGAGCTTGGGAAGTTATCCTTTAAGAATCCCAACATCTGACCCAGAACTATCAATATATATTTATTTTGCTTCAGCGATAAGTTCATTTAGACACATAGAATCATAGGGCAGTAGAGCTTGAAAGAAACTTAAGAGATCCTTGAGTCCAACCCAGTCTAAGTGGGCTCTTTTATTAATTCTTCAGTGCTGGACTTTGAGAATGATACTTGTTCACAACCCCTCTGTCCTTGGAATCAAATGAGAAATAAGATATAGAAGTCAAGCAGCTGGGACTTAAAATAAATTTATGACAGCTAAAGCTGATTGGAGAATGTAGTTTTGAATGTACAATTGGGCTTCCTAATTCTTTCCCTCAAAAGGAAACTTATCTACCCAGAACTGGAAGACTCCTCTATCCCACAAGGCAAGAACCTACCCTAGAAAGCTTACCATGAAAAGAAGAGGAGAGGAGGGAAGCACAGGCCTTCTCTGGGGAGGCTGTTCCCAAAAGGAGAAAACCCAGAAGAACCTGAATCATGACATATGCCCATTTTATGTGCTTCAGTTCTCCAAGCACATGAACCACTTATCCTCTGCTAGATACCATGAGTTAGGAGGTAGAGCAGTAAGTGGAGAGTACTTTTCTCAAGGCTGCAGCAAGGACAGAAGTTCCCACTTTATAAGATGAGGCAAAAGTGCTTGGAGCGGGAGAGGTAGGTTTCCCCCTAACAAATGCCATTTAATAGAGCAACCTCTGCTCCAAGAACACTGAGGCCCAGAGAGGTGAAGTTATTTCCCAAAGGTACCATGGCTCTGAAAGAATAAGGTCCTCCATACTTCTAATGGTGAAGTTTCACCATTTCACATGTGTAATCAAAGGAGGACAGGCTCTTCCACATTTATCAGCATAATAGCAACAAGAATCTTCTATTCCATCATGCACAAGGACTTCTAACTCCTTCCTTCATCACTATCACTGCCTCACATCCCCAATCTACACCTTGCCACCTCTATCTACACATCACACCCTCATCCACACTTCACCACTACCATCTACACCTCACCACCCTCACCTATACCTCACCACCTACATCTAAACCACACACCTCCATCTAGACCTCACCACCTCCATCTAGACATTACCACCTCCATCTAGACCTCACCACCACCATCTAGAGCTCACCACCCTCACCTATACCTCACCACCTACACCTAAACCACACACCTCCATCTAGACCTCACCACCATCTAGACCTCACCACCTCCATCTAGACCTCACCACCACCGTCACCACCACCATCTACACCCCACCACCCTCACCTATACCTCACTACCTACACCTAAACCACACACCTGCATCTAGACCTCACCACCATCATCTACACCTCACCACCCTCACCTATACCTCACCACCTACACCTACATCATACACCTCCATCTAGACCTCACCACCTCCGTCTATACCTCACCGCCTCCATCTAGACCTCACCACCTCCAGCTAGACCTCAACACTGCCATCTAGACCTCACCACCCTCATCTGTACCTCACCACCTCCACCTATACCATAACCTCCATCTAGACCTCACCACTACCATTTACACCTCATCACTACTATCTACACCTCACCACCCTCACCTATACCTCACCACCTACACCTACAGAATGCACCCCCATCTAGACCTCACCACCTCCATCTAGACTTCACCACCTCCATCTATACCTCACCACTACCATCTAGACCTCACCACCCTCACCTATACTTCACCACCTACACCTAAACCACACACCTTCATCTAGACCTCACCACCATCTAGGCCTCACTACCTTCACCTGTACCTCACCACCTACACCTATACCACACACCTCCATCTAGACTTCGTCACCTCCATCTAGACATCACCACCTCCATCTACACTTCACCACCCTCACCTGTATCTCACTACCTACACCTAAACCGCACACCTCCAACTAGACCTCACCACCTCCATCTAGATCTCACCGCCACCACCATCTAGACCTCATCACTCTCACCTATACCTCACCACCTACACCTAAACCACACACCTCCATCTAGGCTTCACCACCTCCATCTAGACATCACCTCTTTCATCTAGACCTCACCACCACCATCTAGACCTCACCAACCTCACCTATACCTTACAACCTACACCTACACCATACACCTCCATTTAGACCTCACCACCACCATCTAGACCTCACCACCCTCACCTATACCTTACCAACTACACCTAAACTGCACACCTCCATCTAGACCTCACCACCTCCATCTAGACCTCACCACCACTATCTAGACTTCACCACCACCATCTATACCCCACTACCTCACCTATACCTCACCACCTACACCTAAACAACACACCTCCATCTAGACCTCACCACCACCATCTACACCTACACCATACACCTCCATCTAGACCTCACTACCCCCATCTAGACCTCATCACCTCTATCTAGACCTCACCATCACCATCTACACCTCATCACCCTCACCTATACCTCATCACCTACATCTATACCACACACCTCCATCTAGACCTCACCACCTCCATCTAGACATCAGCACTTCCATCTACACCTCATGACCACCATCTACACCTCACCACTACCATCTACACCTCACCACCCTCACCTATATCTCACCACCTACACCTACACCACACACCTCCATCTAGACCGCACCACCTCCATCTAGACCTTACCATCACCATCTACACCTCACCACCCTTGTCTGCACCTCACCACCCCCATGTATACCTCATACCTCCATCTATACCTCACACCTTCATCTATACCTCACACCACCATATACTACCTCACCATCTCCATCTCCACCTCACGCCTCTGTTTACAACTTACTACCTCCCTCTACATCTCATCACTTCCATGTACACCTCACCACCTCCATTCACATATCACATTTCCAGCTACACTTCACACCCCATCTACACCTCATACCTCCATCTACATCTGATCCCTTCCATATACACGTCACCACCTCCATCTACACCTTACACCACCATCTATACCTCAGAACCTCCATCTACACCTCAAACCACCATATTCACCTCACCACCTCTCTCTACATACACCTCATCATCTCTGTCTACACCTCACACCTCATCGTCTCCATCTACACCTCACACCTCCATTTACATGTCACACCACCTCCATCTACACCTCACCATCTTTTTTTTTTTTTTTTTTTTCGATGGAGTCTTGCCCTGTTGCCTGGGCTGGAGTGCAGTGGCACGATCTTGGCTCGCTGCAACCTCTGCCTCCTGGGTTCAAGCAATTCTCCTGCCTCAGCCTCCCGAGTAGCTGGGATTATAGGCACGTGCCACTACGCCAGCTAATTTTTTTTTAATACCTCACCATCTCTATCTACACCTTACACTAACATCTATACCTCAACACCTCCATCTACACCTCACACTTCCATCTACACCTCACCATCTATCTATCTGTCTACATCTCCTCACCTCCATCTACAACTTACCTTTTTTTTTTTTTTTTTGAGATGGAGTTTCACTCTTGTTGCCCAGGCTGGAGTGCAATGGCATGATCTTGGCTCACTGCAACTTCCACCTCCCAGGTTCAAGTGATTCTCCTGCCTTAGCCTCCTGAGTAGCTGGGATTACAGGCATGTACTATCACACCTGGCTAATTTTGTATTTTTAGTAGAGATGGGATTTCTCCATGTTGGTCAGGCTGGTCTCAAACTCCTGACCTCAGGTGATCTGCCTGCCTCACCCTCCCAAAGTGCTGGGATTACAGGCGTGAGCCACTACGCCCAGCCAATTTATCATCTTTATCTACATCTCATTACCTCCATCTATACCTCACACCTCCATCTATACCCCACATCTCCATTTATACCTCATCACCTGTATCTGTACTTCACAACTTCATCTACACTTCACACCTTCATCTACTTTGCCACCATTTTACTGCTACTTCTACAACCAACACCTCTGCCTCTATCATTTTCTCCATCATTCCTACCACTTCTTCTTTTGTCAGCAGAGAGCCAGCAGCCATCCTTTTGGCTGGAGAGACAGGTGTGAACTAGGAGGCTACCTGCATGGCTGTAGTCTAGAGAGGTCTTCAAGGTCTTTGAGGTTAAAGAAAAAAAATGTCTCTAGCTTTTGGTGTCACCTGATCCCTCTAAAAAGATCACCTTGGAGCATTTTACAAAGATTGAGTTAGAGATACCTAAAAATAAGTACACATGTTTATATAAACTCATTGACCACAAGTGCAGACTGCCACTATTTCCAAGTCATGCCCTAATCTGACAGCTGAATATTTAGGTACTTGCAATGTAAAAAGATCCTTTATCGACATCTCAGCAGTCCTCAAAGCTCTAACAATATAAAAGTTGGAGACATTCAAGTGAGCTGTAATTTTGAGCCAAGTGGGGTCATCCCAGTACCTAACAACAGACCCACATCTCTATAGGTTCCTGGAAATGCCACTGCCCCTCTCTGGGCCCCAATTTTTCATTGTATAAAATGGGCAACCTTGAGATAGGACTGGATTCTCCAAGTTCTCTTCTAGCTCTAACATCCCTCCAAGACAGAATCCAAAAAGAATCTGGGTTAAAAACTATGCAGGGAGATAAAATAGCATTTCAGAACCAAGGCTGGAGTATACCACTGCCATAAAAAGATCACCAAGTTAAAATTCAAGAAGAAATTTAGAGCAAAGGCATCTGCCTTTGATCATGGCCAGCTCTATTCAGACCCTGCTATACCTTGGTCTGTCAGTCAACCAGGCATCCATCCCTGACCCTGCAGGAGCGTCCCTCCCCCAACCTTGGTCACATGGCTGGCTGCCACTGAGCCTCAGAAGTCAATCTCCAATGCCCCAAATACTGTTCAGCCTGGAAACCACAGAAAGCCCTTCTTGCCACCCAACAGGAACAGAGCAAGTGGTTCTGGCCTCCGTGGGATTTGGATCCTGGTTTCCAGAGCTAAGAACACAAAGGTAAGTTTGCAGCTGGAAGCTTCAGAGAAAGTAGACAGAGCTATGCAGATAAGGGAAAATGTGCTTTATAGCATGAACACAGAGTATTTAAGAGTAAGCTTCACACACACTGAAGAGGAGAATACCAGAAAAGCTGGGCAAATCTTCCAAATGAGTGTAGAATATTTGATTTTCTGTTTTTGTCACCCTGGTGCCTTGAGGTTTTTGGGTGCAAAACCACTCCAAATTAACAGAAATGACAGGAGACCTGTTCTGTCTGACACCGTGGTGAGTTAGTTCTATCTTGTTCTCATCTAATGAACTGAATCTTTCTCTTCTAGGCACGTAAATTTCTGTTGTCTTTGTCAAATGTGTTAGACTGGCTGAAATATTTATGAAGTAGCAAAAACCCTGAGACTTACCTCTTTCCCAGAAAACCATGGGAAAATAAATTATGTCTGCTAATGTAACATCTCAGGATAGAAACAGAATAATGGCTAGTTTCCTTTCATTACACATTTTTGGTTTTAGGTTTTGGATACGGTACCTGGTTTTGCCACTGCTAGTTTTCTTAGGGATATTTGTTTGTTTTGTCCTTTCTCTCCTGGAGCATGCGTGGGTGTTTCAGTCTGCAGGGCCCCGAGGCAATGGACAAGCTACGGGTTGAGAGGGTAGCCTTTCTCTGGCTTCTAGCTTAGCTTTCTAAAGCCCAGCATGACCCCGTGTCATTCTTGTCGATTCAGTTCACAAAATAATCCCAGATAAGCCCTTGGGGAAGTCCTTTTCTGAAATACTTTGGGCTCTCAGAGGGGTGTACCAGACACCATGTTGGCTGGTCTAGAGTTCTTAGATATCAAGGTCAAGTGGCTTAAAATATGGGGTGGAAAGAAAAGCTCCCCAAAATCTGGCCCGTGAATATGTGGCACAACCTTTTTACTAGTTATCGTTTTTCCCAGAGACATGGACGTCTAATCTTAAGGATTCATTACTATGCTTTACCCTTCTTCCCTAGTAATTCAACTATTTTGTTCTGTTCCCAGTGTCTAGTGCAAATATCTGGAACAAAGTGGATACTCAATAAGGATTTGTTGGATTGAATTGATGTGCCCTTGTGGATAGGGAAAGGGTGGGCACCTAAACACCAGATGATTCTATCAAAAGGGTTCTGATGGCTAAAATGTGTCATACATCTTTAAAGCTAGCTGTGTCACCACCTCCTTGCTGCTTTGGACATGCAGGCTGCTTGGGCAGGGACCCCTGTGTGTCTGTTTCCTAGGGTAGCACTCTGATCCTTGGCCTTACAGGCTTAAAGTATTGTTTTGTTTGTTTGTTTGTTGTTTTTGAGTGCAGTGGTGCCATGTCGGCTCACTGCAACCTCTGCCTCCTGGGGTCAAGCAATTGCCCTGCCTCAGCCTCCCGAGTAGCTAGGATTACAGGCATGCACCACCACACCCAGCTAATTTTTGTATTTTTAGTAGAGACGGGGTTTCACCATGTTGGCCAGGATGGTCTCGAACTCCTGACCTTGTTATCTTCCCGCCTCGGCCTCCCAAAGTGCTGGGATTACAGGCGTGAGCCACTGCGCCCGGCCCAGGTGTTGATTTGGTCAGTAGGGTTTTGGATTCTCAGGGATCCCAGATGTGATTCCAGGCTAGTGGTAGGGGCAATGAAATGGAAGGTGACTTTTGACTCAGGACAGAAGAGAATTTTGTTCCCTCACTGTAAAGGCGTGCTGAATGCCAAGGCGATCTATGATCTAAAGATGGATGGGGGAGTAACAGCTAGTTGGGCAGGGTAGGGACTAGTGTTACAAGTCCTCTCATTTGCTGCATGCCAGAGGTTGATGTGTTGCTAGCACAATTCCTTTGGCAAGATATTGTAGTGGATGATGGTACTGGTTAGTACTTTTTGGATACAAGTAAATCAAATCAGCTGAAGCTAGTTGAAGAGAAAAGAGGGTTTTAAAAAAATGTTTATTTTTTTAAACATCAAATTCCTTTTTGCCAAGGAGGGATTTATTATAATACCAGGGAAGTCTTGTGGACAGGAGTTCAGCCAGGCCTCAGGAAGGGCCTGGAACCCAGAAGTGGAAGACTGTCAGTAACCCATACCAGGCCCCCTCTGTTTCTCACATCTTTACCTCTCTTTCCTCTCTCTCTCCTTCTTTCTCCCTTCCTCCTCCTTCCTTCCTCCTCCCCTCCCTTCCCTTCCCTTCCCTTTCCTTCTTCTCCCCTTCCCTTTCCCTTTCCCCTTCCCCTTCCCCTTTCCCCTCCCTTCCCCTCCCCTCCCTTTCTTCTTCCTTCTTTCCTTAGGTTTGGGAATCAAAAAGAATCCAGTTTGAACCCTGGCTCCACCATGGCTGGTTCTTTGATCCAGGACAAATCACTTAACTCTTAGTCTTCATTTACTCATCTATAAAATGGGGGTGAAAATTATATATCTTACTAAATTATAGTGAGAATTAAGTAAGATGATGAAAGCAAAATACCCGACATTCAACGAATACACATTATATGAAATGCTGGAGGTAGAAATTCTGTTTCATGAATTAGGTTGGGACTTTTATAGTGGGCAGTATAGTTGCCAATCAGAGCAGAGCTAATCCAAACACTTCCCCAGGGCCAACACTCAGCTTCAGATGGATGGACTCCTTTGAAGATCATGTCAGGGAGTTTGGGTTCTTCTCCTACTTCTGCATATCCCTGGGAGGGAGCTTCTCTCAAGTTGTGAGAAGTTGGGACCTGGCACAGAGGAGATGAGGCAGGAATGGTCTCAGCTAGTCCAGAACTGGAAGGTATGCATCTACCAAAATATTATAGCTACATTATAGCTCCATATTTCTGTAGTTTGTAGAGTTCTCATCTATGTTTGCATATGTATTGTCATTTGTCAGTGACAATCAGGCATTTCATTGTTTTTCCAACAAACTTTCATTTGTTTTCCAATCTGAGAATCCATAGTACTTCAAATAGGAAATAACACATTTTAAAAACATGTTGGAAAGCTCTATTTCATTTTCATTAGTCAGGCACTTGTGATTGCAAACATGAGAAACCCAACTCAAACACGAGAAAAAATAAAATGAATTTAACAGCTCAACACAACTGAGAAGGACAGTTCAAAATTAACTGATTCAGGGAGTCACAGTGTTATCTGGACTCTGTTTCTCTACTTTTCTTGAATGCTTCTCTCCATGTGACAGGCAAAATAGTAACTTCCAAGCTTATCAGCTTAGCAGTGCCAGAATGAGCAGAGTTTTTGGATGAATCAAGCAGAAATGTCCTGGGAAGAATTCTGATTGGCCCAGTTAAGGACATGGGATCATTCCGGAACCGATCTCTGTGGCTGGAATGGGGTGTGTTTGACCAGGCTGGGTCACATGGTCTTTCCTGTGGAGGCTTGGAGAGACATGGAGTCACCCACTAAGACATTTGAAGATGGTTTTCTATAGGAAAAGAAATCTGTTACTCACCTTCTCTGTACTCTTCACACCATACTGGAGTAGGAAGATATCAGCTTTTTAAAAATCACCAACTGACCCAATTTAATAAAAAATATAAATGGGGAGTTACTTTCTTAAAATAGAGGTTTTAAATGTGGTCCTTGGATCAGCATCAGCAGCAGCAACTGGGAACTTGTTGGAAATGTACATTTCCAGGCCCCAACCTAGAGCTATGGAATCAGGCACTCTGGGGATGAGACCCAGCAATCTATTTTAACAAGCTTTCTGGAGCTGCTCACATGTGTAATCCCAGCTACTTTGGAGATTGAGATGGAAGGATTGCTTGAGCCTAGAGGTTGGTGGCTGCAGTAAGCTGTGATTGCGCCATTGAACTCCAGGCTGGGTGACAAAGCGAGACCCCAACTCTAAGAAAACAAACAGAAGCAGCCTTCTAGGTATTACGATGCACGCTCAAGTTTGAGAACCACTGCCTTAAAGGGTTCTTTGTTGTGTAATTCTGCTAAGTATTTTAAACATGATTCACTTTGAATAAATAGATTTAACCATTAATTTTCAAGTATACGATTATCACATAAAGTAGGAACACATGGCATATTAAATTATTTACTTTAAAATGTTTAAAATAAAAAAGCTATAATTTAAAAATAAATTAACACATGTAAGAGCTTTCCATAAAAAGCAATGGAACTCCATTCCAGCTTCCTCCATATGTCACAGTTCCACTTCCCAAAGATAACCACTAGGAATTCTTTTAGCTTTTTTTGTTGGCTGCCTTTTAATAATAATGATAGTAATAATTATTCCTGCTATTTATTGAAGTTAGATATTAGCCACTTACAAGTGAATATTTAACTTACAACCACAGACATCTATTTTTTATCCTCCCAGTGTAGAATATCATCACAATTTTTAATTCATTCAAAAAGCAGTGTTTATACTCATGATTACATGCCATGATCACATTTTATTCCTTGCAGAGTTTTAATTTTTCCCTGGTATTTCTAATTGCTACCTTTTTTCTTTGCATTTTCTGTCACTTTCTTGAGTTGTTCCAAAATCTCCAAGAGTGTATCAAATCTTTTACATTTCATTTTTTCCCCTGGGCGGCTCCTTCCGAAGCCTCATTTTCTAGTTCTTTTGAGGACTGATTGATTTTTGAGGACACGGCTGTCATCTGGGGACTGCTCTTCATTATTCTGATTCCATCCACTCTCTCCTGCATATCATTGTCTTCCCCTTCTTGATTAATGATGGGTAACTTTTTTAAAGAACTTCCTAGGAAGTTATGAAAGAGAAGTAAAATAATTTTTTACGTGTCTGAAAATGTCTTTTACCCTTACTCTGAACTGGCAGTTTGACTGGGTGGAGAATGTTAGGTTGGAAATCATTCTCCCTTGGATTTGGGGTGGTTTTGCTCTATCATTCTCTTCTGTCTCTTTTTTTTTTTTTTTTTTTGAGACAAAGTCTCACTCTGTCACCCAGGTGGAGTGCAGTGGCACAATCTCAGCTCACTGCAACCTCCACCTCCTGGGTTCAAACAATTCTCGTGTCTCAGCCTCCTAATTAGCTGGGATCACAGGCATGTGCCACCACACCCAGCTAAGTTTTGTATTTTTAATAGAGACGGGGTTTCACCATGTTGGCCAGGCTGGTCTTGAACTCCTGACCTCAGGTGATCCACCCGCCTCAGCCTCCCAAAGTGCTGGGATTACAGGCGTGAGACACCGCACCCTGCCCATTATCTTCTCTTATTCAACTTGCTGAGGAGGAGTCTTCTGCTTTTCTATTCATTGACAGGTGACCTGTTTCTGATTGTTTCACTCTACAAGTTTTTAGGATCTTTCTTTTCTTCATAGTCACTGTTCTAAAATTTCATAATGATCTAGCAAAGTGTGGGGAGTTTTTTTCCCAGTCATTTTTTGTGCAGAGTCCTCAGTTGACCCATTTTGCGTGAGACTATTATCTCATAGTGTTGGGGAGACCTCTTAGTTATTTTAAAAAGTACTTAAAAAAATTTAATAATAAAATACCTCAAATGTGTACAATATGACAGATATTGATATATTACTGTCCAGAATTAACAGATGTTAACATTTTATCATATTTGTTTCATACCTACATGTATATGTATAATCTATCCAATATACCAAAGATCATCAAGCATCATTAACTTTATCCCTCCCCAGAAGTAACCTGAAGTTGGTGTGTATCATTCCTCTGCATAATTTTATGATTTTATTACTTATAAATGTAACTATAATCAGTATTGGTAGTGTTTTGTTTGTTTGAAAGTTTTATATAAATAATATCATTTTGTTTTACAACTTTGTTTTTCTCAATATGTTTTTGAGATTTAGACATGTTAATACATAAAAATCTAGTTCATTCATTTGAACTGTCCATAGTTATCCATTATGTGTCAGTTAGGAAGGCCTCAGCTAAAAGTAACATAAAACTTAGCTAGCAGTTTAAATATAGAGATTTTTTTTTTTTTTCAGGTAACAGGAAATCTAGGGATAAGCACTCCAGAGCTCAGTGATATTCTCAGGAACCCAGATTTGTCTTATCCTTCTGCTTTGTCCTTAGCCTGTGCCTTTGATCTTCATACCTGTCACCTCATTGTTGCAAGATGGCTGCTTTATCTCAAAGTCTCAAGGTCCGTGCAAGAAAGGAGGAGGGTAAAGGACAAACTATGCATTCCAACTGTGTCACTTTCAATCAGGAAAATAAAAGCTTTCCTGGAAGTCTTACCCAAGGTACTTCTACCTAAATCTCATCGGCTAGAATAGTGTCACATGACTACTCCTAAAGTCAGTGACTGGCTAAGGGCAACCAGATTACCATTAATGGTTTATATAGATCCCAACTCATGCCTGAGCCTAGGGAAGGTGACTGCTGGCAATCAAGGGCCCTGTGTCTCTACCTGAACAAAATGGAGTTTTGTAAATAGGCAAGAAGAAGAGGGAATGGATGTTGGGCAGTGTAGCAGACATGCTAGATAACTACCCAATGCCCATTCTCCCTTTTTCCCTTACTGACAGACTCAATTTTATTTTTTTCCAGTAAAAACTTACTTTCCTAGAGTCCTTTGTCATATGACCCAGGTATGGTTTTCAGTAACCACATCTAGGTCACCTTTGTCAACAAGTAATTTTTAGTGGAAGTATATCCCAAATATTGTACCAAACATACACTCAAAGTTATTTGTTGTTATCTGAAATTCAAATGTAACTGAGCAAACTAGTTTTATTTGCTAAACTTGGCAACTCTATCCAGCAAGGAAGAAAAAGGAAAAGTGAAGGGGCTTTCTTCTGAAAATGCTTTATCTAGGAAGGGACTCCTTCCTCAAGTTCTTTCTCCTGCAGCTCTTCAGCCAGAGAGAGCTGAAGAGCATCTGAGGGAAGTGATTCTTTTTAGTTGGCCATAGTGCTACTGTGGCTGGAGCAGAAGTCAGAAAGTCAGAGCAGCAAGGGCAATGGGCATCAGGGAAGTAGCTAGCAGCATTCTCCACAGGTGTTTTATACTCTCCAAATAGTTACATCCAGTGGTGATGTTCAAAATATTTAACAACCAACATGGTACTGATGTTGACCAACCAAAATGAATACCTGATCACTAAAAATGGACACCAACCGTAAACAGCAGCCATACCAATGCATGTCGGTGGAATATCAACCCTGTTTCTATTGCTATTTTCAGGGAAATTAACACTCACTTGATTTATTATGACTGTGTAAATATTGCCCACAGTTGAGTATAGTGTACCATGATTACTTTTCCTTTCTGTGACTATTCTTGACAAGCTTTTTGTATCCTCTCGTAATAGTCAAACACATCAAGACCATTTTTCAGAACCAAGTTTTTTCCTGAGGACATCCTGTCCAGTGCCTGCTCTAAAATGTGCCTGTTGCTCTCTGGACTGTTGCAGGGTTCTTCTCCGGCGACTTTTCTTTGCCCATCTTTTGTGGTGAATCCCGTTTTCCAGACTTAATTTCTTTCTTAGTGCAAGTCCTTCATCTTGTTAGAGTTCCTCCTTCAATCACTTCCTGAAATAAAGGTGCATCGAAGGTAAATTTTTGAGATAGTTTATGTCTGAAAATGCCCCTATTCTACTCTCCCACTTGATTGATAGCTTGATTGGGACTGGAATTCTAGGTTGGAAATAATTTTGTCTCACTTTTGGAAGCATGATTTCATTGTCTTGTAGCTTCCACTATAGTGATTGAGAAATCTGATGTCAATTCTTGTTTCAGATTCTTGGTAGGTGACTTATTTTTTTCTGGAAGCTTTTAAGATCTTTTTATCCATGATGTCCTAATGCTTCATAAACATGTGACTTGGAGTGGATTTTTTTTTAAATTATTTTTTCTGAGCTGAATGAAAGTTCTTTCAATCAGAAAATTCAAATCCTTCAGTTCTGGAAAATATTCTCATGTTATTTCATTGATAATTTTCTCTCCACTATTTTTTTTATCTCTGTTTTGGGAATTCCTATTACTTTGATGTTTGGGCCTCCTGGATTGATTCTCTGGTTTTCTTGTTTTATCATAGTATTTGTTTAATCTCTTTTATTTGTGTTCTATTATCTGATATACTCCTTCAAATTTATGTTCCAAGTCTTTTATTGAAAATTTTCTTCTAAGATATTTTTAATTCTGCTTTTCTTGTTGTCATGAATACAATGTCTTTTCTTGTCTCTGTTGTGATTTCCTCTAATTTGGTCTTGAGAGCTATCCCTGCAGAGTAGCCAGAAACCAAGATAGCCACTTTCTAGGAGAGCTCTAACCAGGAGGAAAATAAGGTTTAGGTGGTCAGGTGAGACACAATGAAACCAAAATGCATAAAACAGAAAAAATTTATTACTTACAGATCTTGGAGAGGTTAGGGGTAGCTGGTGGGAAGTCAAGAGGCAGTAGGATGTTCAATCAGTGAATGGGGGGGAGAGAGAGAGAGAGCGAGAATCACATGGGGAGGGGAAGTTTTAACTAGGCCAAAGGAGTACAACTAATTGGGTTTCAAACAACTTATGTCAGGCCAAAAACTGGATGCCAAGGAAGGAACTATATTAAACAAACCTATAACAATCTCCTTGAAGATATTAACTATCTTTGTTTTTGTCTTTGTTTTGTAATCTTTGCATGGGGGTCATGCTAATCTTTTATTATCCCAATTTTAGTATATGTGCTACTAAAGTGAGCACCAGTTACATCGTTTTTAAAATAACTTAAACATTTTAAAATATATATTTAGGGAGTAAAAGTGCAGGTTTCTTACATGCATACCATTGTGGTGAAGTTTGAGTTTAGGGTACTCATCACCCGAACAGTGAACAGTGTACCCAATAGGTCACTTTTCAACCCTCACCCCCTCCTACCCTCCTATCTTTTGGAGTCTCCAGTGTCTGTTATTTCACTCTACATGTCCGTGTGTACCAATTGTTAGCTCCCACTTTTAAGTGAGAACACACAGGATTTGTCTTTCTGTTTCTGAGTTATTTCACTGAGGGTAATGGCCTCCAGTTTCATCCATGTTGCTGCGAAAGACATGATTTCATTTTCTATGGCTGAGTAGCATTCCATTATAAATATACACACACATATATATATATATATATTACATTTTCTTTATCCAATCCTACATTGATTACACTTAAGTTGATTCCATATCTTTGCTATTGTGAATAGTGCTGCAATAAACATACAAGTGCTGGTATCTTTTTTAATATAATGATTCTTTTCCTTTGGGCATATACCAGTAGTGGGATTGCTGGATCAAATGGTAGTTTTATTTTTAGTTCTTTGAGAATCCTCCATACTGTTTTTCATAAAGGTTGTACTAATTTACATTCCCACCAACAGTGCATGTTTTCTCTGCAGCCTGGCCAACATGTGTTATTTTTAGACTTTGTGTGTGTGTGTGTGTGTAAGACAGAGTCTCACTCTGTTGCCCAGGCTGGAGCGCAGTGGCACAATCTCAGTCTGCAACCTCTGCCTCCCGGGTTCAAGCGATTCTCGTGCCTCAGCCTCCTATCTGGGATTACAGGCACGCACCACCACACCTGGCTAATTTTTGTATTTTTAGTAGAGACGGGGTTTTACCGTGTTAGCCAGGCTGATCTTGAACTCCTGACCTCAGGCCATCCCCCCACCTCGGCCTCCCAAACTGCTGGGATTACAGGCATAAGCCACCTTGCCAGGCCTAGACTTTTTAATAATAGCCATTCTGGCTGGTGTAAGATGATATCCCTTTGTGGTTTTAATTTGCATTTCTCTGATGATTGGTGATATTGAGCATTTTTTATGTTTGTTGGCCATTTCTATGTCTTCTTTTGCCAAATATCTGTTCATGTCCTTTGCCCACTTTTTAATGGGGTTGTTTTTTCTTTTTGAGTTGTTTGAGTTCCTCGCAGATTCTAGATATTAGCTCTTTGTCACATGCACAGTGTGTAATATTTTTTTTTCATGCTGTAGGTTGTCTGTTTACTTTGTTCATTGTTTATTTTGCTATGTAGAAGCTTTTTAGTTTAATTAAGTACCATTTGTCTATTTTTGGTTTTGTGGCATTTGCTACTACATAGTTTTAATGGTTTCTTTGGCTGCCTACATTGCTCCTGTTTCCTTGGACTTTTTCTTTTCTTGTTTGTTTTGGCATCTGTCATTCTGGTGATTCTTGGCTGGCTGTTCATGTTTTGAAGTGGAACTGCTAAACAGCTGCCAAGTGGCCAGGCTGGACTTGTTGAATGATAGACTTACAGTGGGCAATTGGATGCAGCCCTTGCCATTTTGCCAGAGGTCCCCAAAATGTTGGAATCTGAAAGTTCTCCAATGTCCTGCCTGGAGGGCCTAACCTTCATTAGGGTTCTAGGAGTCCAACAGGCAAAGGGCTGAGGGGCTAACTGCATTTACTTAACTCCTTTTTGTTTCCCCAGTGAAATTAACTCCTTTTTGCCCTCAGCTATCCAGGGATCTTCTGTCCTAGGCTTTAGTCTCCTACAGGGCACCTCCATATTCTGAGTAGAAGGGGCATTATAGGAGACTAGAGCCTAGAAGAGAGACCTGAGGATTTAATCAGAACTCCTTATGAAGATTTCCCACCATCTCCCCTGTGTTCAGCCCACTCTGCATCATGGTCTTCAGATGTCCCTATTGCCTCTGATGTCCTATTTCTATCTTTGAGAAACATTTTGTATATGTAGAAGCTATCTAATCCTTGAAGGTTCAGATAAAACATTTAAAAAAACTATCTGTTCCTGGTGTTTATTTTTCTTTGCATTATAGAAAAATGTTCAAACACAACAAAAGTAAAATAAATGATGATGACCCTATTAACTTAAAAATCACATAATCTATGCATTTAGAGAGAAGTATTTCTTGTAAAGGGTTACAGGCTGCAAGGTGGCCATGTTACAGGCTGGGAACCACAGCCTTAGGGTTAGATCAGAGATGGGCACTTCGAAGGAAGAGGGGTAATGACTGGGTTGGCCAAACATGCATATTCAATAGATTACAGGAGGATCTATGAATATTCATGAAGGTGGTCCTGATACATGTGTATTGAACAAACATGCATATTACACATGCCCATATTCACCTTGGGATGGGGCTGTTACATTTAAATGTATTACATTAGGCATTATACATTAGAATATCTTTGTAGGAGTTCAAGTGCACAGCCTCTGTAAACTGACCAGAACCAGTCCATGGTTCGTGATCTTATCAGGAGAAAGTTACTGAAGTCAGTCTTTTGTCCAATCAAAGCTATAGTTATGGCTTATGGAGCAGGGGGTTGGTTAGTCAGCGTCTGCTGGTAGATGTGCTGCGAATTGTTCTAATATTGCTTGTCTCAAGGCCAGTGCTTGTTTAGCTGCTAGAGGAAAAGAAAAACCTTGTGGCAGTTAGGACACAGCTATTCTTCAAGTGTAGGTGTGCATGACTTAACCCTTGCCTGGTCTGGCTTTAGGTCTTGTTTATAGTTTGGTACCTTATTGCCACAAAGGATCTATTCTGTTAGTCTTATTCTCAATTTTAACATAAATGCTGATCAGTTATGTCTGCACTGCAAAAAGGAGAGAATATAACAAGGTGTGTCTGACTTCCTATCCTGTCTTGGCCAGGATTTCGGTTTTTAATATATGCCTGGGATCCCCTTGGCCAAGAGGGAGTCCATTCAGTTGGTGGGGAGGCTTAGGATTTTATTTTTAGTTTACAACTCTTTTTTTTTTCAAATCTTTTGTAGCATAACTTCAATAATTATCAATATATGACTGATTGTGGTGCCTTTCCTACAATCATTTCAATTGTTATTGGTTAATTTAGGTTTTCTAATTTTTTTAAAGTCAATTTTGATACTTCTATTACTTTTGTAGTGAAGTATCCATTTATTAGCCTTGTGGCTAAGGGTTCTAGTTCCAGAAACAGACTGTCTGGTTTTGTTTTTCCATGTGGGTAGTCATTTAAGCTCTCTGTGTCTGGGTTTCCTCATTTGTAAAATGGGAATAATAATGTTATTTATTTCATAGGATTGTTGAGAAGATTCAATTAAATCATATATGCAAAGCACTTAAAATAGTATCTGGCACATAGCAATGTAATTGTTATTGTTTAAGTTTTGTTGTTATTATTTAAGTTTTTAAATTAATTGGCATGAATTTTTTAATGGAATTATAATTTTTAAATTCCCAACTATATTTTAAGTTATGTCCCTTTTTCATTCCTAGTGTTGTTTACTTAAAATTCTTCTTTTCTTCTGATTGATCTTACATAGAATGCCTTTGTTTTTTCTTTTTTTTCTTTTTCATAGAGACAGAGTCTCACTCTGTCACCCAGGCTGTAATGTAGTGGCACAATCATATATGGCTCACTGCAGCCTCAAACTTCTGGACTCATATGATCCTCCCGCCTCAGCCTCCCAAGTAGCTTAGGACTACAGCACACCATCACACCTGGTGCATATTTATATATACACACACATATATATATTTATAAAATATGTATCTAATATATATATACACATATATCTAACAAGATATATATATGTGTGTGTATTATAGAGATGAAGTCTCATTATGTTGCTCAGGCTGGTCATGAACTCCTGGCCTCAAGCAATCCTTCTGCCTTGGCCTCCCAAAGTGGAGGGATTACAGGTGTGAGCCACCACACCTGGCTCGACTGCCTATCTTAATAATCTTTTTTTTTTTTTTTTTTTTTTTTTTGAGACGCAGTCTCGCTCTGTCGCCCAGGCTGGAGTGCAGTGGCGCGATCTGGGCTCACTGCAAGCTCCGCCTCCTGGGTTCACGCCAATCTCCTGCCTCAGCCTCCCGAGTAGCTGGGACTACAGGCGCCCGCCACCTTGCCCGGCTAGTTTTTTGTATTCTTTTTAGTAGAGACGGGGTTTCACCATGTTAGCCAGGATGGTCTCGATCTCCTGACCTCGTGATCCGCCCGTCTCGGCCTCCCAAAGTGCTGGGATTACAGGCTTGAGCCACCGCGCCCAGCCGCTATCTTAATAATCTTTTAAAGTAATTGCCTTCTTTCCTTGTTCCCTCTAAGTATGCTGCATCCCACAAGTTTCAATATGTTGTATTTATAAATGTTGAGTTCAAATATTTAATAATTTCTATTGTGGTTTCCTGTTAAACCCATGATTAGAAATTACTATATATACAAGTATATTTATATAAAATAATTTTGAATGATGGTTTTAATAGGAAACCACAATATAAATTTGGCTTATTATATATAAACTATAGAAGCATAATAAAGTTACTTTTCTGAGGCTTTTCTGTGACCTAGTATATGTGCTTTCTTTGTAAATGGTGTCATTTGTACTTGAAAAGGAAGTGTGTTCTCTGTTTGAAATTATTCTTCAATTTGTTTATATGTCCTTTTTTTTTTTCTTTTTTAAGACAGAGTCTTGCTCTGTTGCCCAGGCTGGTGTATAGTGGTGCAATCTCAGCTCATTGCAAAGTCCACCTCCCGGGTTCAAGAGATTCTCTTGCCTCAGCCTCCCTAGCAACTGGGATTATAGGCACATGCCACCACACCTGGCTAATTTTTGTATTTTTAGTAGAGATGGAGTTTCAGTATGTTGGCCAGGCTGGTCTTGAGCTCCTGACCTCAGGTGATCCACCCGCCTCAGCCTCTCAAAGTGCTGGGATTACAGTTGTGAGTCACCACACCCGGCTATATGTCCTTTTTTCTTAGTTTTTTATCTGTATTAAAATCTCCCATTGTGACTATGGATTTGGCCATTTATCCTTGAAATCCTACCCTTTTTAATGTATACATTTTGAGGCTGTGTTCCTTTTACTTTATAGTCATGAAGGTGAAGGAGAAGGCTGGGGTAGGAAAGCTGGACCACACTAACCACAGGAGGAGATTTCCGGATCAGAAAGGTGAGGTCACTTTGAGGACTTTACGCAAATCTCAGGAGGCACTGAGAATTCTCTGGATGTCTTTATAACAACTCTTGCAGCTGGAGAGTCTAGGGAGCAGGTCCCTTTTCCTGACTCATCCACAGTGTCTCCTTGAAGCTGGTGGGACCAGCCTTCATGGTATCCCCCAGGTGACTGCATGGTCAGGCCGGAGACAGGAAACTGCCACTTTGCCTGTGTGGATTAGAGTATAGCTTCCCCAACACAAAATGTAACTCACCTAATTTTACAAGATCTGCAAACCATAATAAATGCCAAATATCAACATTTTATATTAATAGATTCCCAAACTGCCAGCTCAGTTAAAACCAGTGCAAGAGGATGTTGGGGTGGCAGGTATTTCTGTTGCTCCAGAATTGCTGACTTTAGAGGCCCGAAGCCTCCTACACACTACAGAGAAGAAGCCACAGGGCTTATGAAAAGGCAGTCAGACGGGTGGCTAGTGCCATCATTACCCCAGCCCCATGTGAAGGAAAATACCAACCTCACTGTCCACCTACAGGCTCTGTGAGCTGCAGAATGCGTAGAGCCACTTTGGAGCTGTCAAGCAAGAAAAATGCCCTAAAGAGTTGCTAGGAGAACTTGGCACATGTCCTGAGCCAAACTGCAAGATACTTACGGTGAGAGGAGAGGTCCTGCAGAGCCACGAAGGAGAATGTAGACTTGGGTGAGGGCAAGCCACTCTCCACAGTTCACCAGCTAAATCACCATGCTCTTTTGATTATGATAGAAGCCAAGAAAAGATGGGACAATTTAGATTCAGAACAGAAAGTAAAATATTTTTTTGACAGCCATCTCCTCTGATTTTTTTAATAAGTATACTCTTCCTGTGTATGGCCCCTTACGGTTTGCATAATCATGTTCTCATACATGATCCCATTCTATCTTTTCAGACGCCAGTTCGGTAGAGAAAGGATTTTCATTCCCACATTACAGATGAGTTCACTGAGTCCCACAGAGGCAGGATGGCCACAGATCAAGTAAAGGACAAGCCAGGGAGCACCCAGGGCAGCTGCCTCTTGGGTTGGGGTCTTTTTGATAATACCTGCTTCTTTTCATTTCCATTCCTGGCCTCAAGGGTGGAGAATAGGAACTTGTCGTTGGAAGACCCAAATATGGTAAGCCCTTAGAGTGGAACTACTTACCTCTAAGTGCTAGTGTCTACTTCTTATCTCAAACTGCAGCTTGCTTAAACAATGCAGTGTAGGGAAGGGAAGTTCCACCATGATATGGGGAGGTGAGAGGAGGAAGAAGGGAAACTAGTCATTCTGACACCCGTCCCCTAGGAAGCGAGGCCACACTTCATAATAATCTCCACTTCATTTTCTTCATCCCTGTTACATCCAGGGGAGAATGGGATCCAGAAGAGCATGCAGTGGGGTGAGCTGGGACTATATACAGATTTGGACACTGACATCCAAGTAACCTGACCCCCAGTACCTAGGAATGCACCAACCAGAGTAGACTCATACAACATCTCTCTAAAGCATATTCAACATCTCTCTAAAAGGCTTAGACATGCTTCTCCATAGTTCAGTTGAGAAACAGTATAGTGTTATTTGAAAGTGGACATAGATTAATTCTAACTGTATATTGCAAAGTCTAGGGCAACCACTATAATTTTTTAAGGGGTATAATTGATACACTCAGAGATGAGAGAAAACAGAATCATATAAAGTGCTCAATTAAAACCACAGGAGGAGCTGGGCATAGTGGCATGTGCCTGTAGTCCCAGCTACCCAGGAGACAGAGGCAGGAGAATTGCTTGAGGCTAAGAGTTTGAGGCCAGCCTGGGCAACATAGCAAGACCCTCTTTCTTAAAAAAAAAAAAAAAAAAAAGGACAAGTGTTGGCCGGGCACAGTGGCTCAAGCCTGTAATCCCAGCACTTTGGGAGGCCAAGACGGGCGGATCACGAGGTCAGGAGATCGAGACCATCCTGGCTAACACGGTGAAACCCCGTCTCTACTAAAAAATACAAAAAACTAGCCGGGCAAGGTGGCGGGCGCCTGTCGTCCCGGCTACTCGGGAGGCTGAGGCAGGAGAATGGCGTAAACCCGGGAGGCGGAGCTTGCAGTGAGCTGAGATCCGGCCGCTGCACTCCAGCCTGGGCGACAGAGCAAGACTCCGTCTTAAAAAAAAAAAAAAAAAAAAAGGACAAGTGCCACAAACACAAAATAGTTGTAAACATGGTAGATATTAATTCACTGATATCAATACTCACTTTATTTATTTATTTATTTAGAGACGAAGTCTTGCTCTGTCGCTCAGGCTAGAGTGCAATGGTGCATCTCAGCTCACTGCAACCTCTGCCTTCCGAGTTCAAGCAATTCTCGTGCCTCAGCCTCCCAAGTAGCTGGGACTGCAGGTTCACACCACTACGCTGGTTTATTTTTTATATTTTTAGTAGAGATGGGGTTTCGCCATGTTGGCCAAGCTGGTCTTGAACTCCTGGCCTCAAGTGATCCATTCACCTCGGCCTCCCAAAGTGCTGAGATTACAGGCGTGAGCCACTGCACCTGGTCAATGATTACTTTAAATATGAATGGTCTAAACATATCAATTAAAAGACAGAGGATGTTAGAAAGGCTCAAAAAACAAGACCCAACTATGTGACAAGAAACCTACATTAAATATAAAGACACAGGCCAGGTGCGATGGTTCACACCTGTAATCCCAGTACTTTGGGAGGCTGAGGTGGGAAGACCACTTGAGGTTAGGAGTTCGAGACCAACCTGGCCAACATGATAAAACTCTGTCTCTACTAAAAATACATAAATTAGCCGGGCATGGTGGCACAAACCTGTAATCCCAGCTACTCGGAAGGCTGAGGCAGGAAATCACTTGAATCCTGCAGGTGGAAGCTGCACAGAACAAGACTCCATCTCAAAAAAAATGCAAATACACACACACATATATATATACACATAGATAGATAGATAGATACAGATGAATTAGAAGTAAAGGGAGGGAGAAAGATATACCATGATAATACTAATCAAAAGAAAGCAAGAATAGGTATCTTAATTTCAGACAAAGAAGAATTCAGAGCAAAGAACATCTCTTTAACAGGGATAAGGGAGGGCATTGCATCATGATAAAAGGGTCAGTTCTTCAGGAAAACGTAATAGTCCTTAACATGTATACACCTAACAGCAGAGCATCAAAATACATGAGGCAAAAAAATGACAAAACTGAAGAACAGACAAATCAGCTATTACAGTTGTAGACTTCAACACCCATCTACCAGTAATTAACAGATCGTGCAGGCGGAAAATCAGTAATGATACGGTTGAGAGGAACAGCATGTTAATCACCTGGATTTAATTGACATTTGTGTAATGCTTCGGCCAACAACAGCAGAATACACATTCTTCTCAAGCTCATGTGGAATATCCACCAAGACAGACCACATTCTGGGACATAAAACACACCTGAACAAATTTAAAGGAACAGAAGTCATGCAGAGTATGCTGTAACACCACATTGGAATTAAACTAAAAATCAATAACAGAAAGATTACTGGAAAATCCCAACAGATTTAGAGATTAAACGATATACTTCTAAATAATATATGAGTAGTCAAAGAAGAAGTCTTAAGAAAATTTTGAAAATATTTTTGACTAAACAAAAATGAAAATTTAACTTATCAAAATTTGTGGGATGCAGCAAAAGCAGTGCTTAGAGGAAGATGAATAACATTAAATGCATATATTAGAAAAGAAGAAAGATCTAAAAGCAACAACCTAAGCTCCCATTTTAGGAAACAAGAGAAGGAATTGCAAAATAATCCTAAAGCAAGAAGAAAAAAGGGATAATACCAAATAGAGCAGAAATCAGTGAAATTAGAAATAGGAAACAATAGAGAAAAATCAATGAAACTGAGGCTATCTCTTAAAAAGATTAATAAAATGGATGAATCTCTAGCCAGGCTAACCAAGGAAAAAAGGGAGAAGACATACATTAATATCAGAAATGAAAGGTGATCATTATTGATTCCATGGACATTAAAAGGATAATAAAGGAATATTATGAACAACTCTGTGCCTACAAATTTGATGACTTAGGTGAAATGGACTAATTTATTGAAAGACACAAACTACTAAAACTCACACAGGAGAAATAAATAATTTGAACAGGTCTATTACTATCAGAGAGGTAATAGATAATAATTAACAACTTTACAAAAAAAAAAAAAAAAAAACAAGAGCAACAGACCTTGATGATTTCACTAGCGAATTCTACCAAACATTTAAGGAAGAAAGGATATCAATTGTCTACAATCTCTTCCAGAAAATAGAAGCAGAAGGAATACTTTCTCACTAATCCCATGAGGTCAGCATTATCCCAGTACAAAACCAGATAAAGACATGACAAGAAAGAAAAACTACAGATCAATATCCTTTATGAATATATATGCAAAAATCCTCCACAAAATGCTGGCAGATCAAATTCAACAATGTATAAAAATAATTATACACCATGACCCAAAAGGATTTATCCCAGGTATTTAAGGCTGGTTCAGTATTCAAAAGTCAATTAAGACAATTCATCATATCAATAGGCCAAAGAAGAAAAATCACACAATAATGTCAATCGATGCAGAAAAAGCATTTGACAAAATCCAACACCTATTCATAGTAAAAACTTGCAGTAAACTAGGAATGGAGGGAAATTTCCTCAACTTGATTTTTTAAAAATCTACAAAAAAACTATAGCTAACATCATACTTAATGATGAGAAACTCAAAACTTTCCTACTGAGATCAGGGACAAAGCAAAGAGATCCCCTTTCACCAGCCCTTTTCAATATCATACTGGAAATTCTAGCTAATGCAATAAGACAAGGAAAGGAAATAAATGTATATAGTTTGGGAAGGAAGAAATAAAACTATCTTTGTTCACAGATGATATAACTGTCTATGCAGAAAATTCCAAAGAATTTACCAAACAACTCCTGTAAC